CATTGCATAATTTTAACCCACGAAGGAATCCAACAAATGAGAACAGCATGTTTTAGATCCTAGTGAAATTGTTGCCGATCCAGCGTGTACTATTTTTGCGCCGCACTCAATACTAGGTATATATAAACTCAATTTTTGTATTTATTTGTGTTTATAATTTGAATTATATTACTAAACTCTATATTTAATTTGATCTGCAGGCCATTGATGGATTTTGATGTGTTTATGGCAATGCATTTGATTAACAAGGTACCGATACTTGATTTCTTAGTTCACTTTTTTCCTTTTTATGTACAAAATCTAAATTATATTTGCATGAGACCAAGAAATGTATATTTTTAGTATGTTTTTATTGCATTATGGGTTGGACATAGGATATCAGGAGCACCTCCTCTTTTCATCCTAGATTCGCCACTAAACATACAGGGTTTTTAATTTCGAAACTGACACTTCTGCTGCAGGTGGGCAATAGAACCGAAATTTCGGAAAACTTTCGTACAAAATTTTTTGAATTTTTGACAGATTTTGAATAAATTTGAATAAAATTTGACCAAATTCACAAAAAATTACAAAAAACCTAAATTTTCGGGCGAAATGTGAGCATTTCGGTGGCAGTTTTGCAGTAGAGATGGAACTAAGAGAGAACCATCGACTATAACCCCAAAAGAATCAGATTTCGTGAACAACATAGAGGAAGAATGAAGGGAAAATCCTACCGAGGCAATTGTATTCATTTTGGTAGATATGCTCTTCAAGCACTTGAACCCACTTGGATTACGGCAAGGCATATAGAAGCAGGACAAAGAGCAATGACACGATATGCACGTCATGGTGGAAAAATCTGGGTACGTATATTTCCCGACAAACTAGTTACAATAAGACCGACGGAAACACGTATGGGTTCGGGAAAGGGATCCCCCGAATATTGGGTAGCCGTTGTTAAAAAAGGCCGAATACTTTATGAAATGGGTGGAGTACCCGAAGCAGTAGCTAGAGCAGCTATTTCCATAGCTGCCACCAAAATGCCTATACGCCCTGAAATTTCAAACCCTAGTAAGATAGGATTTGCAACTGACTTTTAGTGCTTATTCTATTATATCATACTGCTAGCCGATTGGTTTCTACTCGATTATGTTGTTATACTATACTATCATAAGCCGATTGCCTTTATATCATTATCTACATTGGATATATAGCCGATGGCTCAAAACCCTATCGCTATTGGCTGGTATCGGCATCGGCTGGAACTACTCCATCGGCTTGTCAGTCGATTGGCTCATTGATCTATTATTTGCATATCTTGTCAGTTGCAGGATCAAACTGACTGGTACGCCCGCATCTCATCAAGATTTGGACCTGCACTGGAGCTAAGCAGATCTCCTAGGTCAGTGTGTGTTTTTCACATCAATACATTCCCGAAGTATTCAATAGAGTTTTACCTTTAACTTAAGTTAACTAATTGAACCCATAGGAATCCTCTCTATCCTAAGGCTACCATATAGTTGTTGTCCTTGGTTGAATCTTGGTTCTAGATATGCACACACATTCATTGTGTTTGATACCCTTGGAATACCCTGTTCCTAAGGGGAAGTCTACAGTGGTATCCATGCGCTTGCAAATTTATCTGTGTGTGTAACAAATACCAACAATGTGGAGGATTATAAAGGATGGATAGGGCTGTTATCACATGTTGTCTACCTCTACAACCCATCTAACACACAACAAACCACTCTAACCTAGACACCACATCAACGTTATCGATTACTTCTCTAGCCTTGGCCAAGAACATTCTTCTTTATCCAGAGACTTAGTACTAGGGCACTCAAAACAAGTATTAAGCGACGAACCTGCAACGATGACAATATATCTTACTTAAATAAGAAAGTTAAATACCCAAAAGAAATCAAGAACACTTACTTATATATAAAAAAAAGCATCTGTCGAGATACAAGATCAGAGAAAGTGCCGACATCTCCAGCACTCCTCCAGAACTCCACCAGAGAGAATGTTGACATCTCCGGCACTCCTTCGGAGCTTCCGCTCACACTCTCTACCTATATTCTAACTCTACTAGAGAGTAGCCTAAGTATAAAAATGAGAGAACTCCAATGTTGTATTATGTCTTCAGAGTGAGGATTCTCCCTCCTTTCATAGGGTGTTATAATGGTTGTGGAGGTTGGTGTTAGCCACAGCTCGGGCCGTCAACAGCCAGGTGCAAGCATGGCAACCGCACAGGCCCCACAATTTTTGGGGGCCCCCATCTCGGAGTGGGCGTGTAGCCTGGCCTCATTTCAGTGGACCACGAGTGAGGAGGCAAGGAGTCAGGAAGGAGTGCTGCTATGCGCCCAGACGGAAAAAAACCGCAAACATTGCTTCGGCTTTGTTGTTCGCTCGCGGATATGCGATTTGCGGCATGCGTGCGACAGCCGGCAGGTAGCATCGACGACAACAGGCAGCACGACGCCGACATCACCAAGCGAAGCAGCGAGGCGAGGTGCCCACTGAGTGGCTGCAAGGTGCCGAGACCTAGCCCTAGCGGGCAGCAGCGAGGCGAGCGGGGCACCGGCTTTCTCAACTCTCATCCGAGTCGTCTCCTCTGCATTGGAAACTGGGAACTTGGAATCGGTAATTTACTAATTTGAATCAAGTATAATGAAATTACAGTATTACAGTATTTTGAATGATCCATCATTCCAATGGATTGATTATTGAATCAAAAGTAATGTGAATGTCTTCTCTTTTGTTTACAAAACAGGAAGACATTTATTTCCTCAAAACCTCAGCATGTCATCTAGAAATAGGAAAAGTATGATTCGGGTGCTGGAAAACGTAAGAAGAAACAAAGATTAGACGGATGATGCTTTTCAGTAGAACATGAGGTTAGTACTACTTTTACTCTTTCAGCATTAATAATTGAAAATGTGTTTCTAAATATTGTATGAAATAACACAAATTAAAATTGTATAGTTGACTGAAAGTGATATATTAGTGCTCAAAAATTTAGGATCCCAATTTGCATTTCGTTCCGGGGCCCAAAAATACTAGAGACTGCCCTGTCAACAGCCGCCACGTGAAAGGGCCAGAACGAGGGACACATGATTGGTTTGGCTAAACAAGGGTTTGGCTAACCCCTTGGATCCACTGTCTTCACCCCGCCACGACCTAGATGAACTCCTGAAATCGGTAGGAAGCTCCATGTGGACGATCAAGATGAAGGGACGCGTGACTAGGTCGGCCGATCTATGGTTTGGCCGAACCATTCCAACCGCCTTAACCACTGTCTTTCCTCTGTGAGTATGACATGTGGTCCTCTATGGTGGTGCACTGTAGATAGCCTTGAATTGTGTCGGTTTTGCACTGATTTGTGGGCCCCCAATCTGTCTACTCGTGTATGATATGTTGGAGGTGAATTTCGTTGCATAGCGGATGATTTTCATACAAAATACCTACTTACAAATATTTCACTAGCACTTGTGAAAATGGTTAGTAATAAACCCTACCACTATGTCCAGTGTTTAATTTCATTTGCTTTCATGCAGGAATTGAAGGTCAGATTTGGTATTTAAGCATCGATCGTTAACAGACTGGTTATTCAAAACTGGGTGTGAATGGCAGACATGCTACAGAAGAGGTGGCAAAACTAGCAGTTTTGTCCCTTGCGTCGCTACATCGAAGAAACGGTTCCGCACCTCCTCACGCGTTGCATGTTGTCAGGGTGAATATGGACAGAAGTAGAGCGCTGGGATAACATTGATCTGCGAATAGAAGAACGGGATCAGTGCACAACAGTAGAGGAGTGGTGGAACTGTCTAATCCAAGTACCGCAAAACCCAAGTAAACCATTGAAATCGCTGATCATCCTGGTTGGCTTGGAGCTCTGGTGTGAAACAAATGCGAGGATTTTTTTTTTATTTTGCCGAATCACCACCAACTGACTATACCTACCTCTATAATTTCCAAGATAAAAGGAGCGTGCATAAAGGTGAGAGTGACAAAACTGCAGGAGTTAAACATATGACCTTTTTTGGGCCCTCTTGTTTGAAAGTGCCCTGTAAATATTTTCCTTCTCTATCGATATATATGGTGGCAAAGCTTTGCCCTCCTTAAAAAAAAAAAAACTGAGCTCCCCATGTAGTCTAGATTTTCACTCATCATATTCTAAAAACATGGTAGTTGAATAACTTACAAAATATACAAGAATCAAAAATAGAAAAATCAGCTTTTCAACTCACCAATAAGTAACCTGCTTCCAAGAATCTCAAACAGAGCCTGAATGTTAAGTACTATAGCTGGAAGCAAAAAGACCAAGATACCAATGGGACCATGGACCAATAACCAGCGGTGCGGCAGACTGACGGACCGCCTCACCGACACAAAAACTCCTGCGCCGGCCGGCATGCACGGACGGACAACGTCTGGGTTTCCGTTTTGGGAACAAAGAAGATAGAGATTTCCATGTCGGTCAGGATTGATCTGTTACGCATCCGTTTCTATATCGCATCTCTATACGAGCCATTCGATTTGGCACCGACGACGATCCCAATTTTCCTCAATAAAAGGCAGCCCACCGTACAATGTGTGCGTGTCTCTCTCTCGGCTGATCGTCTCGCCGCCGCTGCCGCCCATCGATCGCGCGTCGATCTCCACAGGTTGGGTTCCTGCACGTATGCACCTCTTCCTCTCCTCCTCCTCCTCCCTCCTAGCTAGCCTCCTAGTCTGCGCGCACCGGCGGCGGCCTCTAGATAGCTACCACTCGCAGCACTAGATAGCTAAGGGGGGCTATACTTCCTATCATATACCCGTATCGCGTATCCGTATCTCCGTAACATAGCTTCTTCTTTGTGGCCGTAACCATGGCCGCAATTAATTAAGCATGCTAATTAAGCCTTTTGTGTCTGTCTTTGTTCTCTCCCAGCGGCAAATCAATTATATATATATATATATATATATATATATATATATATATATATATACAGAAAAAGAAAAAGGATCATGTTTTCTGGTTGTTGAATTAAGCTAGATTAGCCAGCCAAAGGGCTCTGGATCGATACTTACTAATGCGAGATTTTAGCATGGTTGATTTTAGCAGGTGCATTGTTGCAATGTTACACGAAGGCCAATTCGTCACAGACGATCTTGCAAAAGCATGACTCTTTTAGTTCAATACTGACAAGTCCTTGTTCGATTTCCGATTTCCATGTCATATATATGTAATTCTTGTAATGTTTTTGTTGTGGGAGTGGCTCCGGATGGGAAGCACGCCCTCGTACGAGCGACAGCAAGAAACCTGGAGCCATCCACCTCGGGAGATTGACCGAAGTCGCTGGATGCTCCGGAGGCCAGCCAGGGCCCCGGAGGCCATCCATGGCTCCGGAGACTGTCCAGGAGCTCCGGAAGGCAACTGATGCTCCGGAGGTCGCCTGTGGGGCTGGAAGTGCCAAGGGGCCCCAATGACGAGACTGGTGTTCTGGACTTCAGGGGCACATGGTGACAGACAATAAATGTGCACTACGCCCTCTAACTGCCTTTGATACCGCGGCACGGGCAAAGTGATGCAGGCTAATACCCAGAGGATATAGCCCAGCCTGGGTAACAGCCAGCACCCTCGGGAGACGCCCCCGCATCCTTAATGGGCGCAGCCATCATTGTCACTCTGGAAAAGTCTGAAAAACACAAGGCTGGCCCACCAGGCAGCCCTCTAGGGTCCACCTGCAAATTAGGGCAACTATATAATTTTCCCTTTGTAATCTTGTATAAATATGTAAACAACGTCCGTTTGAGAACACATTAAATACAGAGGCAATACACCTCCACCTGCTGAGTTTTGTCCCAACAGTTTTGTCAATCTAACGATATGTCCTATCATCAATTTACAGGTTGTGAGGCGAACGACAACTAGAAATCATGCCGTGCGCTATGCTGGTGGCAGCAGCGGTTGAGGTCGCCGTCCCAACCCTGGCTGAGGCTGCAGGTGCGTGCCACACACACATAATATATACATAGGCTCACTGTGAAACCGGTTTTTTCTTCACAATTATGATAATTTCATTAAAAAAATAATTATGACAATAGTCACCGCCTGCTCATAACCAAATTTCCAACTCCAACCCATAAGAAAATAATGACCGACTGCCCACCCAGACTATCCTATAACTGGCAGTGAAACTGTTTCCAACCAAAAAAAACAAAAGAATCGTTATAGGATTGTTCTTATACTGTGTCCATGCCAAGAATCTTTACATTTCTCTAATGGAAATGGAGGGCTTTGCCCTTTGCTCTAAAAAACAATACTGTGTCCATGCCTTATTTTGAAACAGTAAACAATTTAAGGAGATGTTTGCAGTGTAGGATGACTTGATTAGTTTAGTTTTGCTGGACTGTTATTCTTCTCCATTGGAAAGTTAAGTGGCCTTTTCAAAAGGACAAGAAAACACAAGAACATTAACTAAAAACTGGAATCAGCTGATGATTCCAATAGATTGGTGAAAACTGATTGTTTTAAGATATGTCTGACCATGCATAATATTATTGTCTTCAAATTGTTTATGTGATGAAGGCAACTAAATTTACTCTTGTCGACTTTTGTTGTACCATACATAGATTGTTTCAGTTCGAACTTTAGTTACTAATTGTTACAAATTTGAACTAACAAATTCTTTTAAGAGGAAACATCTAACACCTGTTTTTTTGTTCTCTTGATGCAATTTATTGTCATCCATACAGCCTTGGGAGCCATAGGTGCAATTCTGGCAGGGCCCTTAATGCAGCCAACTAAGGTTCGATCCCCTGTCAGAGTAAGAAATAGCAATTTGAAGTGCCATGGAACCAAGATGAGATCTCCCTCAATGGTTTCAATGTCCCAGAGCCAGCGCATCAAGATACCGTCTTATGTCGGTCTAAGCACAGTGCATACTCCTGCACTACTCACACCTGTCATTAGCTCGAGATCGACAAGAACTTTCCAAAAGACAGCAAAAACAATACAAGAACGGTCTCATGCCGTTATGCAAATCCCTGAATTTACACCTGGCACTGGCTTGAGATCAACCAATGCGATTCAGAGAACAACAGAAGTACTGCAGAGACATTCTCATGTTGGTCTAAGGCAGCCACATGCTGGTCGTCTAAGAGAAATGCATACAGCTTCAGGTAGGCCTGTCATTGGCTTGACACCAACCATTGTGTCTCAGAAGACAACCAAAGTGCCGAAACAGCCTCGTTTCGTCGCCAGGGCGATTGATAATTTCAGCAGGGAGGTGATGAATGCTATCGCGGTTGCACACGACGAAGCTCAATACATTGCACATCTCACAATCGGGAGCACGAACATCCTGCTTAGCCTCATTTCACAGTACATTTGCATTTTCCTCCTGGAAATCATACTCAATAAGGTATGTTTTGTTCAAAGCATTTTTCCCTCTGACCACAAAGGATCACACAAGAAGCAATGATTTTTAAGATTTTTTTTTTATTTGTGGTTATCGGTAATGATTTTTCTCTTGCAAGTTAGGCTTACAAAATGTTCAGAGCTGCTGTTAGGAGAGCAACCAGGGGAGCTAAGTTAGCCACACTTATGGAGTATGGGACTAATCTAACAAAATTAGCAGAGGAGGTACTGTGATACATATACCTATTGCAGTGCAACAACACTGAGAATATCCTATGATATTAACCGGAAAATCAATCATATTTTGTAGGGTAAATTGGACCCTGTTGTCGGAAGGCAGAAGCAGATTGATCATGTCGTCCAGATTCTGAGCAGACGGACAAAGAACAACCCTTGCCTGATCGGAGAGCCTGGTGTTGGAAAAACAGCAATCGCAGAAGGGCTTGCTCAGCTCATTGCCACAGGGGACGTTCCTGAAACAATTCAACAGAAAACGGTTCGTCTCTTCGTTCTGATTCTGTTTTGATTATAATGCTCTGCTCTTGCTAACCATGTTACAGTTACATGAAACTTAGTATATGAAACTAAATATCGCGTTTATCTAAAGTAATGAAAATAAATACCTGGCAAACGATTATTGTGAGATTTTAGCCATTAACCTTGAATGCAGAATAAACATAGACCATTCTACATTATCTCCTCTATACATAAGATTTTGAAGTGATTTCCTTTCTGGACATACATCCAAATAATTTTCACAAAAATTTTAGTAGTGACTAGGGTGTACTAGGTATTGCCTCTGTTTCAAACTATTTATGTTCTAGGTTTGTCATGTCATCAGTCAAATATTTTAATCTTTGACCATTAATTTATATAAAACTCATATAGTTTAACAACACTCAATCAATGACAGGTTATCTCACTTGACATGGGACTTCTTCTTGCTGGTACGAAATATCGAGGAGAGTTGGAAGAAAGACTGAAGAATATCTTGGAAGAAATCAAGCAGAACGGTGAAATAATACTATTCCTTGACGAAGTCCACACTCTAGTAACAGCAGGATCAGCAGAAGGTGCTATTGATGCTGCTAATATTTTTAAGCCAGCACTGGCAAGAGGTGAACTACAGGTAGCAATGTTATTGTTGCCTCTTTACAAATGCTTATGAAATATATTATGATCTTATCCTACTATAGAGTATAGATCAGGCCATTAGTAATATGTGAGCTATTTGTGTTCAGTTTGTTGTACTAATGTTCTCACTATGAGATCAATATTTCGCAGTGTATTGGAGCCACTACAATTAATGAATACAGGAAGCACATCGAGAAAGATGCTGCATTAGAAAGGCGCTTCCAACCTGTAAAAATTCCAGAGTCAACAGTTGATGAGACCGTAGGAATTCTGAAAGGACTTCGAGAGAGATATCAGGGTCATCACAAGGTCCAATACACTGATGAAGCCCTTGTTGCAGCTGCTGAACTCTCCCATAAGCACATCAGGTTCGTGAATGTTTTTAACATTTAATATTATCATAATTTTATCATTCTTGAGAAAATATCGGGAGGTAGCAAAACTTAGTACTTTTTTCAGGTACTATATATTTCGAGGCACGAAAGTTTTTAGCGTAAAATTATGGTACAAACATGCACTTTCTCAAGAACCGTAATGTAACAGACAGATTGTAATGTCAATTAATTTGGTATATTTGGTGATAGGATGTACAGGTGTGCTTGGTTTGCTATCATGCCAAAATATTGGTACTACTAAAATCTAGGCAAGTTTTAGTAGTCCCAAGATTTTGATAACTTTTTGTATGCTATTGGTAGCAAACTAAACACTATTAAAATATTATTCAAAGTGCCAAACAATTTGGTAGGACACATTTTAGCTTCAGCTGGTTAAGTCATTAGTACCGAGGTAGAAGAACACATTACACATTTATAGCCTTTTCACAATCTGACATAGTGTGATTTTGTCTGCAGAGATCGTTTTCTCCCTGACAAAGCCATTGATCTGATGGATGAAGCAGGTTCGATCGTCAGGCTAAGAAATGCCCAGGTAGAAACACATGCAAGTCCACCAAAATTAATTTCTATCCATCATTTCTCCCACGTACACATTTTTACCAAATCTCACCGTGAACTGAACCAACAGTGTAAACCATCGAAGAAGGTTAATGATTTGGAGGCAGAGCTCAAGAAAACCTTGAAGGAGAAGAATGATGCCATCAGCATACAGAACTTCAGAAGGGTAAATATGGACAAAGTGCTAGTTTTTTTTTAAAAAAAAATAATGGAAATTAAAAGTATCACTTCCAATCTGTGCACCAACTTAAAATGTACACAACTATATTTGTCGACAATTTAAACTTGGTGGGTGAAGTCTCACACACCTAGATATTGATGATCGCATTAATTTCCCCTGCCAATTTTCTGGCCTCCTCTTTTCGCTTATTCCTATACTTATTAGCTAAAATTTGAATTTTCAATTTTAAATCGAGGCTGATTTTGGAGTTTTTTCATTTAAGTTTATTTTTTAGTCTTTGCTTTTATATCGCTAAGAACACGGATATAAAAATTGTATTTACGAATTAATTTCCGTTTGCAAACATGCTGTTTGGCCCAAACGATGGAGCCGTCCATCCAAATTATGCAACTAACTGAGTCAAATTTCAATCCTGAACAGGCAAAGCAGCTTCGCGATCATGAGCTGCAGCTCAGGACCAACATCTCAGCTCTAACTGACAAGAAAACGCAGATGATGGAGCCAGACGCCATTGCCATGCCAGTGGTCACCGAAGACGACGTCCGGCACGCCATCTCAAGGTGGACCGGCGTCCCATTGCACAAGGTGTCCATGGACGAATCAAGAAAGCTCCTCAAGCTGGAGGAGGCCCTGCATCGCCGCGTCGTCGGCCAGGGCGAGGCGGTGGCGGCGGTCAGCCGCGCCATCCGCCGCGCCCGCCTCGGCCTCAAGCACCCCGGCCGGCCCGTCGCGAGCCTCGTGTTCGCCGGGCCAACCGGCGTCGGCAAGTCGGAGCTCGCCAAGGCGCTCGCGGCGTACTACTACGGCTCGTCGGAGTCGGAGGAGGCGGCCATGGTGCGGCTCGACATGAGCGAGTACATGGAGAAGCACGCGGTGGCGAGGCTGGTCGGCTCGCCGCCGGGGTACGTCTGGCACGGCGAGGGTGGCCAGCTGACGGAGGCGGTGCGACGGCGGCCGCACGCGGTGGTGCTGCTCGACGAGGTCGAGAAGGCGCACCGCGACGTGTTCGACCTGCTGCTGCAGGTGCTCGACGACGGCCGCCTCACCGACGGGAAGGGGAGGACGGTGGACTTCAAGAACACGCTCATCGTCATGACGACCAACATCGGCAGCAGCCTCATCGTCAACAACGGCGGCGACGGCGCCGCCGCCGCCGGGAGGATCAAGAACACGGTGACCGACGAGATGAAGCGCCACTTCCGGCCCGAGTTCCTGAACCGGCTGGACGAGGTGATCATGTTCCAGCCACTGACCGAGCTCGAGGTCGGGAAGATCGCCGGGATCATGCTGGAGGAGTTCGCCGGGAGGGTCAGGGAGAAGGGGATCAAGCTGAAGGTGACGGACAAGTTCAGGGAGCTCGTCGTGGAGGAGGGATTCGACCCGAGCTACGGCGCGAGGCCGCTGAGGCGGGCCGTCGTGCGGCTGCTGGAGGACACCCTCGCGGAGAAGATGCTCGCCGGAGAGGTCAGAGAAGGGGATTCGGTGATCGTCGACGCCGATTCAGCTGGGAATGCCGTGGTCAGGAGGAGCAACGCCATGCCTGCCTAGCTAGTACTGGTGTGCAACAATTTAATTGGATACGTTTAAGAATTTGGGAATATTTAGCTGTCGAAATATTTCAGTTCACAGCCATAGGATTTTGTAACTTTGTATCGGAAGATACAAAATATTGATTAGTCGGCACAAAGCCAGTAGGTCAAGCTGAGTTCAGTTCAGTGAGACAGTGACTAACATTAGTACACAAATGGCAATCACTGTCGGCCCATCAGTGCAGTACTTGCAGAACTGATCCCCAGGGAATGTGGAATCATTATCAATTGTGCAAGCACGGTTCATATTATCGCCGAAACATGGATAGAACATTTCACAATTCAGGTTTATCGGTGGGTACCGGTAAAACACGATATTGGCCAAAAATTTCGGTCATTTCGGGTTTATCAGTGGTTTTTTGAATTTGCATGCATAACACTATGGTATTTGACGGCCTACATGATTTACAGATTATAAATACTATTTTTATACCAAACGGTCTAGATGCAATATACTTGATTTCCTGCATAAATTGAGTTAATTTTTAACAAAATTTGGCAGAAATTTTTTCTTATCGCCGATAAAATTCTGAATAATCCCGTTTATCGGTGCCCCCGATATTCCTTTCATGTCGATAATTTAAACCCTCTCCGGTCTATCCAAATAAAGCCTCCCTGCATGATAAATAGCAGAGGCACTCCCTTCTATATATGATATCATAGAGGAGTACGTGGGTGCATATGAATGATAAAAGGGTCATCATATTCTAGCATCCAAATAGGAAGTAGAGGCACCAGGAAGCTAGTTTCATGCAGCTTGTACTTTCAATGATCTGCCCACCCATAATAGATTGTGACAACAGTTTGGTGTCTGTACAGATCAACACTGGCAAGGACGTAAGTCCTATGCGCTCCTGGTCGAAAACACGACGATCCAATGCTATGCTCTTACTTGGGGAGAAATACCATTTCTCATATAGGAGGGCCGATTTCATACTGTGATGGAAATGTTGGTATTAGTGAGGACATTCCACTCAGTATCTAAGATGAAAGGGCCTAGAAGAGATGTCTAGGCAGCACCACTCTGTAACAAAATTGGACTTAATATCCAAGGATTAAAGATCACTGTTAAAGATCTCCTGGAGGAGAATTGAAGCACCATGATGTTAGTCAGGTGATTGACGTTTGATGGTGTTGACCTTTTTTTATTTTAGAAAAGGGATTTTTTACCCGGTCTCTACATCCAACCGGATATACGTGGCCATTTAAATTGGAAACTTAGCCCTACAAACAACCCAATATAAAATTCACTCCTATGGATATTCGAATTCAGGATCTTAGAGTACTACTCAGGTCACTGCAAGGACTAAGCTACCTGCCCTTTTCACGGTGTTGACTTTTGGAGGTACACAGGCATGCACTAGCTCATGGTTGTGCCAGGAGTCCATCACAGCTTTTGATTTTAATTTAGCTGTTTTTTTTTTGCGAGGAATTTAGCTGTTATTCAAATAGGTCTATCATACTCTTGAAGAATCTGAAATTTTCCAATGTGTTTGAGAAAGCAGAAGAATCCGAGTAAAACAAAGGACATCCGACTATATCATCATAACTCGTTTTCCATTCCTTGGATAAAATGGACTAATAGAGATCATTCATGATTATAATGGAAAGGATAAATCAGTGAAATATATCAGAGCTTGTGTATATAAATTTGAACTAGGGTTGCAATCCAAACCAAGATGAAGGAATTAGCTACTAGGGGTGTTTTGCCAAGGTCTCGGAGGGGCATTGCTAATTAATTATTCTCTTTTACAAGATGTAACCAATGCTCGTTGAATATAAGTTGTAACACATATTTTGTGCAACTCGACGGAGCAAACCGGGCAGGAACCCGTGCCCCTAGTTAATATTACAAGTTCACTGATAGCAACCAAGTGCTAGATTGAAAAATCTGATGCGTTCATCTTCGAGCGCAATGGAGACAAACATTAGACTGATCAAATCTCACATATTTTTGGGGCGGAGAGAGTATTCATCTAAACTGAGCTGAAGAATGGCTAAGTTCACTGTTATCTCTCTCTCGCCTTTTTCTTTTTGAAATGAATGGCATGATCCTAATTTTCCTTGCATTCGAGAAAAAGATGTTCCAATAACTCTGCAATGTCCCTTCACATTTTTCCAGTGTGGCGGCAACGTGTTATATTTTCACCTACTTAATTAAGAAAACATCACAGATCCATTGGCTTTTATGCTCAATGGAAAATGTTGTGCGCACACATGTCCTTGTCCAGGATTCATGAATGAATGACTTTACTTAATCTTAGATACATGCATAATACTTTTTTTTTCTAGAGATTTGCTCCGGTATAAATCTTTTTCGATCGTTGTATCTAACTGAGCAGGATGGTGGATGGATATTGTTAGATCCAATGATCGAAAACGATTTAATACCGTGAGGTACTGGTACCTTAAGTTACTTTTTATTGAAGCAGAGTAAATCTCGGAACTTGATTTCTAGCTGTTTGCCATCCATTAGGAAATGGAAGCACCATCGGAGTATACAATCATCCGGAGCCTCTGCACGACGGGCCGAGCAAGCGGCTGCCAGTTTTCTTGATTGGCATGAGCTTGTTGATTGATAAACCCTGTCAAGTGTTTTCAGGTAATGGTAAATATGAGAAGAGTCCCACTATGATGCCTCACTGGTAGTGAAAATAATATGAACTATTGATATCGTTTGATCGAAAGATTCACATATATTTATACTACCACCCCAATTAGCGATAGTATATACATGGATAGTGATAGTATAAGCATGGAGGGGTATTATTGTAAAAAAAAGGTGTGGAAGGTATAATCATTGTTTAGCAAAGATTGAACCTGTTTTTCCTTTTTTTTCTTTAACTTTTTCGATGGAATATGAGGGATACCAGTGGAATGGATGACCAAAAATCGATTTTATTCAAGGAAAAAAAATTACAAAGTCACCCCTATTCATTGTATGAGTAAATTACTAATTTGCCCTTAGTAACGAACAGTTGAGATCATTTGTCAGATTCATTTTGACATGCAAATTAATGTGTGGTTGTACGTTCCTGACCAGGAAAGGGCTACAATTCACCAACTTGTACAAGGTTGATTGGTTGGTTGGTTGCCACACTTTGCCACGCCACACTTTAGTCATGCCACAGTTTTTTTGGCATGTGTTTGGTTCGCTGTCGCAATTGTGTTATGCCACACTTTCTTAACTTTGGGACCCACATGTCATGCTCTCAAATTTAGAGCTAAGCATGCCACACTAGCCTAAACTTAGTTATGGCAAGGTTAGGCATCAACCAAACAACCCCTTAGTGTTTCAGTTTGTGGGTCAGTTTTAAAAGCTTTTACCATGCCTGAGCTTCTCCCTCATGGACTAAGGGTCTGTTTTATAGAGCTCTAACTCCTAATTTTAGTTTCAGGAGTTTAGTCTAGAGTGGAGTTGTGAGAGCGCTCCACCCAGCTCTGCTTCCATTTTACATGGAACTAAAACTGTTTGGTTGGGCTCCAGCTCCAGGAGAGATGGAGTTGGAGTTAGAACTGTGCCAAACAAGCCCTAAGCAGCTCTGGAAGGTGCTCAATTGATTTTTGGATGATAATTATTCCGGTAAAATCAGAAGTAATTTTCCTAAATAGATATACATCTGGATAACAGAATTCTAAACAAAAATGCTGCATATTTTATACCAATTAGGTGCTGCTCAAAATTAAATAGGTATATAATGTGTGAGCCTTTGCTATATTAAATAGGTCCTCCCTCCGTCTAAAAAAACTTAATCTGGATTTGTATCTGGACATAGTCAGACAGTTAGCGGATCTTTTATGTTGTTACCTTCTCAATGTTTGTATCAGCAAGGTTCGTCTCCATATATGATAGAATCCAAATAGAGAGAATGGGAATAGTCCTGTATATGGTCAAAAACATTTTGGATTGGCGAGCCAATATATAGGAAAGGGAGGCAACAGGAAATCATGTCGACGCTCCCATCGCTGTCTTTTTCATTCATTGTCAAAGCACATAACTGTCTGTCAAGCATAGTGTTTAGAGTAAAACATGCATCGGCAGGGTTCATATCCTCTGACATTGAGCTACTAATGGTACTCTGCCGTTAGTTGATCTTATTCATTCAAGAGAAATATGAGGGCTTAGGTATTGAGGCCCACCTATTCATCATTCTCTTCTCTCTGTCTACTATATTTTTTCGGAAATGCTTGCTATCAGACGTCTGATGCAACAAAGAAAATTCAAGCGAGCAAACTACTACCCCCTATCCACTACACACATCCATCTTCAAAATATTTTTTCTTCTAAATTACTTATCCAATCTATGATATAATCACACTATTATATTTGTTATAATTAAATCTTTATAACAAGATATCACATCATTATATTCCGATGAAAGAAAAACATATGTTTCGATCCGTTAAATTTAATTTTTCATATGCGGTATCAATATGTTTCAATGTGAGTTATCGTTATGTTTCATAGAAAATTTAAATGTTTCAATAACTAAATTTTTTTGGTTTCACTACGTATAACTTAATGTTTCACGCTAAAAAAGAATGAGACGCTCATGCCTCTACTCTCTCTCTCTCTCATGCCATTCTATTGACTTTCTCCCCACACCATGCATGCATGCAACTATTTAGTGCTCTTAAAAATATTTTTCTTTTAAACTACTTATCCGATGAACGATTCGATCACACCGTTAAATTCGTTATAATTAAATTTTTACGACAAGATATCACATGCTTATATTCTAATGAAAGAAAAACAAATATTTCAAACAATAAAAACTTAATGTTTTATACGTGACAGCAATATGTTTCACCATGTGTTTTTATTGTTTTTCACAAATTTGTTATGTGTTTCATATGCTGATTTTTCTGTTTCACCATGGATAACTTTATATTGCACCAACGGTCATCTAAAACATTTGACCGTCCGTATTTTTCAACCTCAGACATCCGATTTGTAGCTATTAACAGTGAAATTTGGTAAGCCCCGAAGTCATCATCGGCCTAGAATCTATATTGACTTCAAAGTCCTGGAATCGGCCGATGGAAGTTATCAAGTCACCAATAGTCGGATTCTTGCTATATTCGGATAAGGAAATTAATCTATTCAAGGAAACTTATCCAGAAGAGACCGAGTTCAAGGAGGATGCGGCATGGCAAGTTATCTATTAATTAGGAAGAGTCTGTTAGTTTCTTTTTATCTTTAGGAAAGCGTGTTTGGTGTTCGATAAGAACTTTATGATTTTACCCATGGGGTATAAATATGTACACCCGGGGTCATTGTAAACTATCTCACAGATCAATACAACTACTCTCGGCGCATCGCCACCCTCTTTACCAATGTTTATACCTATCATCTGGCAAAACTTGGCACCTGGCGTGGGCTGCATCGGCTTTCGATCTCCAGCGAAGGGGTAAGTCCTACGTTCCGCTGGCCCTGGCAATTGTATCGGCTACATTGGTGTTGTTTAAGGCTATATCGCTTCGACCTCTTGGATCGCGCTGGTTCGGTTTTTTATTTTTGCCTACATATTTATCACATATCTTAGTTAATTTGGTTTAGCATCTTTAATCATATCGGCTAAGATTCGTTTTAGGGTTTATGCTGGTATGGGCTAAATTATCTTGCTAGATTAGATTAACTAAGGTATCCACCACTCTGAAAACTAGTCGAAGGCTTGATTGTCTAGATATTGTGTTTCTTTTCATACTTAGTGCTGCATCAGTACATTCGACCTACTATGTCGTGTTTAGAATAATGATCTCTAGCCTGCTTTTCGATTGCCAATAAGGGTTTCATCGGGATTTCAGCAGATGAGTTATCTGGACATTGCATTGGCTTATAAAGATTACATACAAGTTGGATTTAGCCGATTGCAACAAAGGTTTAACTGTTTATCTAATCGATTGGATTTTATAACATCAGGCTTTCAGTCGATGTATGCTTTAATCTTCGGACCGACACTTATTCTATCATATCATTATTAGCCGATTGGTTTCTACGGGATTATATTGTTGTTTTATTATCATGAGCTGATTGTTTTTATATCATCATATACACTGGACATATAGCTAATTGCTCAAAACCCTATCGGCATTGGCTAGTATCGGCATCGGCTGGAATTACTCCATCGGCTTATCAGCCGATCGGCTATTTGATCTGTTGTTTATATGTCTTGTCAGTTGTAGGATCAAGCTGACTGACAAGCTTGTGGATTTTGACCGACCCATCAAAGATGCTTTCTCCAGTAGTGCTAGTTAATATTGCAAGTTCATGATAGCAACCAAGTGCTAGATTGAAAAATCAAACGTCTTCATTTTGGAGCGCAATGGAGACAAACATTAGACTCATCAAATCAAATATCATCCTCCCCATTTACATGAATATTCGTAACATATCTCATCATACCACATGTGTCAAATCAGATGACGACATTTCATATTCATCTAAATTGTTTTGATCCTAAGAATGGCAAAGTTCACTGCTATTTTTTGTTCTCTCTCTCTCCTTTTTCTTTTTGAAATGAATGGTAGGATCCTAGTTTTCCTTGCATCCAGGAGAAAAAGATGTTCCTATAACTCTGCAATGTTCCTTCACATTTTTTCAGTGTGGCGGCAGTGCGGTATATTTTTACCTACTTAATTAAGAAAACATCTCAGATCCATTGGCTTTTAAGCTCAATGGAAAATGTTGTGCGCACACATGTCCTTGTTCCGGATTCATAAATGAACGACTTTACTTAATCTTAGATGCATGCACATGTATAGTACTTTTTCTTGTATGGTTGGTGAAGAAATTGTTTTGAGAGTTCTAAGCCCATGATAAATAGCAAATGCATCCCCTTTCGGTGATGCTCAAATATCATACCGTAGAGGAGAATTGTATTATAGAGGTGCATGACAATAACAAACAGTCATAGTCTATCATCCCAATAGGAGAGTGAGGCACCGGGAACTTGATTTCTAGCTGTTCGTCACCCGGGAGGAAATGGAGGCACCATCGGTGTATATAATCATCCGGAGTCCCTGTACGACTGGCCGAGCAAGCAGTTTCCAGTGTT